CCCGAGGTCAGTGCCGACGCGCAGGCGTCGAAAAACGTGCAGGCGTCCGCTCCCCACTGAACCACATGCAGTGGTCGGTGCTCTTGGCGGAGGAAGGCGATGACGTTTCAAGGTACGGGCAGTATGGAGGGTGTTTGTGAAAACATCGCAACAAGCGCATGATGCGAAGCAATATTAAACTAACATCTGGTGATAACGCAGGAATGTAAAGAACCAAACGGAGGCCACAACAGCGTACAGACAGACACACACAGACACCAGAACGGAGGTCACCGGTAACGTTCAGTCGCGCAGTCAGCAGAGCGGGGGTCAACGGTAGCATACAGACACGCAGACGGCAGAACAAAGGTCAACCTTAGCGTGCAGACACGCAGCACGCGAGTGGATGTCCGTGGTATCATGCAGACAGACAGGAAAGAGTTGTAGCAATGGTAATGCCAACCCAACGGGTGCTTTGACACAGGCCTTCGGTAACAGCAGCAGCTGACAGCAGGGGAGCTTAGTGGTAGCAGACTAACAGTGGAACGGACATTAGCAGGCAGACAGCCGGACGGAGTTCAGCGGTAGCACGCAGACAGCCGGACGGAGTTCAGCGGTAGCACGCACACAGCCGGACGGAGTACAGCGGTAGCACACAGACAGCCGGGCAGAGTTCAGCGGTAGCACACAGACAGCCGGGCAGAGTTCAGCGGTAGCACGCAAACAATCGGGCGGAGACAAACCGCGGCGTCACGGCACGCCAGCTGGCGGACATGACGCGTCCTGCGCACCTGTGTCTGGCGAAGAGACCTGCCGCCGAAAGGTCAGGATCTTTTGGCTGGTATCTCTCGGCGGCGGCCCGGGCATGACCTTCATCGGTCCTGAAAACGAGCTCCGATCCAATATCGCGTGGATTGACCGGATGCGGAGGTGTAAACGGTGTCCGCGCAATTGCGGGATAACTGGGACGGACGTCTGGCATTTACAAGCCCAAAAGGTCACAAACTAAGCATTGCTCTTTACGAGTGCTGACGAGCATTGCACCACCCGTGTGCGATTATCGATTTGATCAATGATATACAACACATTTGATTTAATACGCTTCGGATTCCATCTTTTACGAATGTGCGTCCTCTCCGCCACCAACACCAGGCAAAAACAGGTTATTGTCAACGTCGGGTCGTACGCAAGCAACGCCGCTTCCGATAGTCCGCATTTCCAACTGCGCTTTGTTCGCGCAGTATGTTAATGACGCTAGACGCACGGTCATACAAGAAAATCTGGTCCAATTCTGTTGGGCAACGTCGTTTAATCTCAGACCATGCCCTGTTGCAGGTTGTGTCGGATGCCATGTTGGCAGAGCTCAAGGAGTGCTTCATGGAGGCGTATGATGACAACCAGGACGGCCGGATCGAAATCCGAGAGGTTGGTACACACACACACACACACACACACACACACACACACACACACACACACACACACACACACACACACACACACACACACACCACACACACACACACACACACACCACACCCCACCCACACACACACACACACACACACACACACACCACACACACACACACACACACACACACACCACCCACACACACACCACCACCACACACACACACACACACACACACCACACACACACACACACACCACACACACACACACACACACACACACACACACACACACACCACACACCACCACACCACCCCACACACACACACACACACACACACACACCACACACACACACACACACACAACACACACACACACCCACACACACACACCACACACACCACACACACACACACACCACACCACACACCACACACACACACACACAACACCACACACACACACACACACACACACACACACACACTGCACGTCTGCTAGCTTTTCGGCCAAAACTTCGTTTGGCGAACAACTACCTTGGCCGGAGGTCTGTCTACCTGCCTGAGTCTACCTGCAAAGCCGTCCTGGCCAAATTCCTGGGTTTGATAAGCTTTCGAGCCAGTCATGTCCGAAAGCAAACTATCCTGGCCCAAGTCATAAAGCTGTCCCGGCCCAGGTCACAAGGCCCTGACCAGACACCTCTGATCAGGGTCTTGTGATTAGTGAATCAACCCGGTCCACTGTAACTGGACCAGGCCCAGTGAATCAGAACGTGGTCATTCGGTGACCACGCAGTGATAAGTGCGTGTGCATACAAAATAGAGTGACAACGATGCGTGCAACGAGACAGCCCGCAACGGCTTCATATGCCATGACACGATTTTATTCGTATCAGGTTTGGCGGTTCAGCCGCAGCCCCCATCGTTGTGCGACCTCTCTATGGTGCTGATTTGAAATCTGACGCCCGCCCAGAAAGACGGAGCGGAAGCGTACTATGCTACCGTTCGTGCCGTCGCTGCTGCTTTGCGAGTGCTGGCCTGTTCCGTGTTAGAAAATTGCTAAGTTGCGCCGTTTATTTTCCAGCTGGCCCAACTGCTACCCATGGAGGAAAACTTTCTGCTGCTGTTCCGCTTCGACAACCCCCTGGAGTCGAGCGTGGAATTTATGAAGGCAAGACAAGCTTGTTTTTTTACTTTCATCCCGATCTAACAAGCCTTCAGTGCCATTATCAGTGACCTTGAAAGAGGAGAGGGCACTCCCGAGGACTTCCCCATTTATTCATCGAAATTGTATCCAAGAACGTCACAAAATTCATTGATGCGGTATGTTACATATGATCCAAATGAATCAATCTTATTGCCACAACAGCGAAGTAGTCATGTCAGATACAGGGCGGCTATTAATAGCGCATCGTTCCGCGAAGTGACGCAGGCATCCACTGATGACACGTTTGAAGCTCCTGACAAGTCTCGAGTCCCGTGTGGCTGTGGGGAACCACCGTTGTTTGTTTAGCAAGCGCCAGTTCTCCATTGGCGAATCCCTTGTCTGAGGCAGTTGTCTTTGACGTCACACGTCGGGCGTCAAAAGGAATGTCTGTGAATTCAAGGAGGAGGACCTGTTGTGGTGTGAGCACCTGTGACTATCGAAATTAACAGCTTCGGGTAGCAGCTTGCTAATGAGAACATGACCTCAGCAGCTGGTCTTGTCATGGCATCAGCAGCTGGTCACCTGATGCTGTCATGGCCTCAGCAGCTGGTCGCCTGATGTTGTCAAGGCCTCAGCAGCTGGTCACCTGATGTTGTCAAGGTCTCAGCAGCTAGTCACCTGATGTTGTCATGACCTCAGCGGCTGGTCACCTGATGTTGTCATGGCCTCAGCAGCTGGTCACCTGATATTCTCAAGGCCTCAGCAGCTAGTCACCTGATGTTGTCAAGGTCTCAGCAGCTAGTCACCTAATGTTGTCAAGGCCTCAGCAGCTGGTCACCTGGCGTTGCCTCCGATCAGCGCCTCGCCTGGAGCTGGCCGGCGTGTGGAAACGGCTGACGGGGCCCTGGCCAGGTGACATTCTCACTAATCCAGGCCGTGACCTGCGGCACCTACTACAGCCGTCGGTTATGCCCGCAGATATGGAGGCGCTATGATGCCGATAGTAGTGGCTCCATAGACGCCGCGGAAATGAAGGTGAGGCCGCCGTCGTGCATCGCGTCTGACGAGAAGCTCTATTTCAGATATGGCGCCAGTATGATAAGGACAACTCGGGTTATATCGAGGCTGACGAGCTGAAGGTATTTTCCGGCCATTAGCTGTTGGTCAGTGCATGCTTAGCTACGGTTATGGCAACTGCCTCAGAGCCTCTTCCTGGCCTGTTGGCGAACGCGCGCCATCGCGCCGCGTCTGTCGTCCACGCGTCGCGCACGCCGCATCCATCCGAGACCGAAAGACCGACTCGGAGAGCCGGCTCCGAACGTTAAATGTCGCTTGCCAAGCTGTTGCTCGCCGGTGCGTGACTGATTATCCTTCCGAACTGCTTTCAAAGTCATGTCGCACTTTTCACACAGCTCTCTCATGACACTGGAGCGCTAACGGAGCAAACCGAAAGGGATTTGGAAGTGTTGCGTGTCACGATCTATGAAAAGACGCGAATAGTGGTCACTAGCAGCTGACGCTTCGTCGATATTGGATAGATTGTAGAAATCAATGTACAAAGGCGTTGTCACTTCTTCTGCAGGAAGAGTCGGATGCCTTTTGATTAGGACGGCTTGGCTGGCGGGAAGTTAAGCGCTCATGGCCGAACTAAAGCGCGAAGTCTACCAGGAACCGGGCTCACAGCTGGAGGCCAATCATTGGAATTTTCAGCGCACCTGTTTGTTTGCGGAACAATGTTTGCGTAAGCATGCATTTTGCAGAATCCAATAGCAAAATGGTCAGCAGTTAGGCACGTTAGAAAGGTGCTACGCAGGCGGAAAAATTAACATCAGTAATGTTCACGAGTACTGGTTCTCCTTAGCACGGCTGATCGCAATCGGCCCGGCACCGATAAACGCCACGTCTAAGGTCGTAGTTTGGTAACCACAGACACGTTACACTACATAGACTAGTTGCCGGTCCATGTTAAGCAAGTATTGGAATCGGTTGTTCTAGATCGTGTGTCGCGAGTCCCGCTGATCAGTGGAACATTGCACATAGCTGTATGCACAATAGAGAACAGCACTGGCTACTGATACACAATAGCTTGAGATTGGAAAGCAGCATGTGTGGTCTACTTTGTGGTCTCGTTGAAAGGTGGATGTTGACTTTATAAGGTGGATGGGTAACACGGATTACAAAATTGATTTACCGTAGCACTGAATCATTTGCAATTCAACGTGGGCAACGGACACTCTAAGTTGTAAGCATCATTGCCTCTTGCACAGCTGTGCGTATATATATATATATATATATATATATATATATATATATATATATATATATTACACGCCTTACACATGCAAATTGGAAGGTCTACCAGAGGTGCAATAATTTTGCTTTCAGAATGTACGTCTTTTTCAGCTTGTCTCGCAAGCAAACCGGCATGATGGATTTTTACTTGAATGAACTAGGTGGCCTGCTCAAGTGACAACATGCAAGGCATGCTAAACAACGCTGCATGTGCATTTTAGGAACCTGGGCCTGGTTTCACGAAGTGAAACCACAAAGTTAGCCACATTTAAATCGCGCACCACGTTCCGTTTACACACGCGTTTTTACACACACGTCGCAGGCAAGTGACGTCATGAGAAAACGTGTGGAACCGGACAGTGCCCAAGACATACCTGAGAGTGCTCAGGTTGAAATCTAAGAGGGCTACTCCCTGCAGTGCATGGCACATCTGAGGTTTGAATGACCGCTTGAACAACCTTGAACATCCGGGTATACAAAAAACTGTTATCGCGTAACCGCCTACAGTCGTTAACAAATACCGGAAAAATGACAATGATCAGAAAATGAGTCGCCCTAGGTGGCTAATAGGATATAATATATAATAAGTCGCCTCTAGGCAATAAGCGGCTAGGCATTCAAACATCAAGCCCAAACTTCATGGGCCTCTCCTCTGCTGACTGCGCAGCGTGACCAAACAGGCAATGAGAGGTGAATGCAAATACTTTGTGCAGCGTTGACAGCTGGCGGCAAGTCGCATTCAGCAAAAGTATGACTCGGGCAGCCATGAGGCTTATAGCCTAGGGCTATGCAAGCACGCCCATCGCTTTGAAAAAGCTTTTGTGAACAGGCATTACGCATGTGTAAAGTGCACGACGATGTTGAATCACCGCCGCTTGACGCCCTCTATTTATGAACTTACGAATCGTGAGCAGGGAGCAAAATTGCCAATGCGGGCCGTGCCCTGATACCGAGCGGACTAAAAGTGCGTGCAAACATAGTTCAGTTTTCTGAAATTTGGCCCAGGTCCTTAATGATGAAGGAGGAGAACAAGTTGATACAAAAGCTTATGTCGATAATCCGTGCCTGCCTGTGCGAAATAAAGGCCCAGGACGACTACGTCATTTAGTCATCTATAGCTGTAGCCGCGACGGTCGGCTGTTGCGTCACTGATAAGTGTTTGTGCGCCAGTGAGTCTGTGTGGTCGTAATAGAAGTTCCCGTGGCACCAGTCTGTTGTGAAACGCTCGCACTTTGTCACGGAAGGATGCAGAATGTACAAAACGCAGCTGCTTGTGCATTATTCCCATCATTTGAATGTGGCAGCAATGCCGTGCAACGGCTTTAAATTCTCTAACTTCAATCTTCTGTCTCTTTGCTTGCAATTTACATTGGCTTCTCTTCTGCCTAGTGTGCAGCTACGCGCTGTACTACGTGTGCTGCCGTGCCTCCACTTACATGTATGGCATGTGGCTGCCGGGCTGAGACGTCCGACTGCCGTTTGCCTGGCCGCCGTGCCGCAGTGCGGTGCCTCCGTCCTGCGATCTGACCAGCGAACGTCTGACGCCTGCAGGCGTTCTTGCGCGACCTCCTGAAGGAAGCCAAGAAAGCCACCGAGGTCTCCGAGGACAAGCTCATCGAGTACACTGACACTATGGTAAGACTGAGCGTCGGCAGCACAGCCGACAAACAGCGAACGAAATAATGTGGTGATCGGCGACTACAGTCGCTATTCGCTCCACCCGCAAGGCAACGCCCATACCCCCAAACGGAATAATCCGATGAGATACAACACTTCCAGCTGTGAAGAGCAAAACAACAGAGGTTAAGCCGCTTCACTCTTGGTTGTTTTTGGTACCCGTGTAGGTGACAGAAGAAGACCGGTTCTGACTCCGACCCCAACTCCGACTCCGACTCCAACTCCGACTCCGACTCCGACTACAAAGTCCCGCTACGGGCAGACTGGCTAATGATATTGATTCTGGCCGACCCTGACTTTGGCGCATAATACGCAGTGCCAGCTTGAAAGATTCCAAACCTGATTGGAGAAGGTGACCACAAAATGTGGGATCGATGCAGCTGTTACGAAGTGAATTCCCACCATTGCCCCGACCTACGTTGTAATAGTTGGATTGTGGATGGAAATAGATAATGTCACTGACCTCGAGAAGGGGCACAAATTAGTTAAACAATATTGTGCCTCTAAATAGTAGCATAGCATAGCAAGCAAGCATATTACTTGCTCGCCTGGCATTAAATTGCTTGCGGCTGGGGACCGGACACATATTCCATCTAGTAGAGCAATTAAAAGTTGCAGCGTGCCTGCCGCTAGGACCCGTCCTATTCATTTTGGTACCTGTAAGGCACACCATAGGTATTTCATGCGGCCATATGGCATGCTTCGAGGGTCCTTACGAAAGTTTGCTAATGAGTGTGGGACTGGAATTCCGCATTTATATTGGTGGTGAACTAGTAGCAGCTAATGAGTTTGCATGCCAGCTAGTAAAGCACTGTTACATCAAGATGCATGGGAGCTTGCATCATAGTTTGTAATATTTTGAAGTGCTCAGCTCATATGTATTTTGGGGGAATAGCAAGAAAGACAAAGAAGCTCATCGTCAAATCTGTCAACCTTATCGTACTGCATACGCAAATGTTGTCGGTGAATTTCTGACTAAAAAACATGCCACGACACGTTAATTCGGTTATGTGTTTATCACTTACTTCCTTACATCGTACGGAAAGCCAACCATGCACCACGATAAAAAACAGGCCGCCCACTGGCAGCGGCCTAGGCTTGTATTGCGACGGAAAACGAAACCGTCAATTTTCTCCGTCGGGAACTGCCTCCGCTACGACGGTTCGCCAAACCAATACGGTCAGTTTTTCGACGAAAGGGGCGAGACCAAGCGAGCTGTCACATTGGTCGACCGTCGCCCATCGGATCGGCGACACATGATACTGCAGTGCCGCTGCCGCCAGGCGTAGTCATTGGGGTTACGCGATGGCATGCAGGCTCGGGTCGATACATGCTCGACACTAGCGACATCTCTCGGCAGGCGCGCACAACAGTGGCCCTGTGATCAGGAAGCCGTGCATGCCAGGTGCATTTGTATGGAGGCGGGGCATCGATTGCAAAGTGAAACCCTCAGTGCACACCTTAAAAAAGGACGTCGGACTCAGCATAGTGAGCAAGCCTTTGAAGCTACCACGGCACACCACATCTTGTCTTACGCGTTGTGGTCACCCAAAAATAATTGGTGAAATCAAATATGGGAACATTCAGATTATGCTCACCCAAACGGGAGCGTGTTATACTTGGCTCCGGTCAGTCTCCTAGCACAGGGTCACACAATTTTCGCTTCTCTACAAATTCGACAGCTCTGATCTGCTTCCTTTTCAGCTGGGTGCCATTGATGCCATTGATGTCCATTGAGGCCATCAACCCCATCTTGGTCACCGGAGTGAGTGCATCATGCTGCTTAACCGTTCACCTCTAGTGCTAGGGGATGTATCCGTGTTTTGTTGCAATGATGCGGCCTACAGAATTTGAGCTGTAATGTCTATTATGCTAACGTTCAAATCACATACGAATTGAGCGACGGCAAAATTTCAGGAAAAAACGTGAACTTCAGCTCCCACTTTTATTGGATCCTCAGCAGCTCGCAAAAATCATACGACCCTCTCGACCTTGTTCGTCGAGATTCAACGTAGCAAGAGAGGAAGTGCACAGGTTCACCCACGAACACTCACTGAATCAGACGGCCTTCTGCACGCTAACAAGTGACGGGGTGACGGGGTCTGACACAACGGTCGCACTACACGCCCGCCTGGAGCACACACGAACACTCGGCTATGTCAGCGCGTGCCGATGGTGAGGCATTGCACGGAGATGCAGCGCGACGCTCAAACTGCGATTGTGACGACAGCAAACTGCGGTTCTTTGGAACGCAGTTCAATCGGTCTTTTGCCCACACCTGGTTATATTCCCTTCTTCTGAAGAGCCACGCCGCCCGACACGGAGAGTTACCGGACATGTGTTTGTCATGACGCTGCGTCTTATGCACCAGCCGGCGGCGTGATGCTCCAACAAATGGGGTTAAGATGTAATAAGGTTAAGGTTAAAAGGTATAAGGCAACAGATAAGATAAGGTTCGCCGATAAGGCTTGACCCGTCTTCCGCGCCCAGAGTGGCTGTTTTCTACCGGATATCGACATGTCAGAGGCGATGGACAAGTTTTGCAGTGAGCGTATGAACTTACTAAAGTCGTTTCAGAAGAGTTCTGCCAATAGCACAGACGCCCTCGTGGCGACCAGGGCCGTGGGAGAATGTCGAAGGGGTGGGAAATGTCACTAGAATATCGAAGCGTGTTCTGTATACCTGAGTTACTTGACAGCCGATAGGAAGGTAACCTGGTCGAAAGCGTGCCTAAGATCTCTAACTTGGGCGCACAAAATCCCCTGATTGTTTCGCCTGCTACTGAGCGGCGACGGTCCGGCCCACGTCCCAAGTCTCCTGGCTGTCCTTCATGCGTAGCCTTTATGCTGTCCTTTATGGTGCTATGCCGCGAGTCACTTGCTTTCTCTATTCGATTTTCTTGAAAAGTAGCCAAGGTGAGAGAGACTCAATACTCTCAAAAGGATGCCCAATATATATTGCGTCGGCAGGTGCAGTTCACGGTGACCCTATAGGTCAAGCTTCACTGGAATTGTCGAACCAACCGTGGGTGGTGCATTTGTCGTCTCGTGTGCATCTTCCCAGGCGATATTATCGACTTACAATGCGAATAGATGGGGGCCATTTGGAATCCAGGGGTCAGTTGATTTGTCGAGATATCAACCTGGTTTTTCCAGGAAACTTAGTAGGTGGGCTGTGCTTTTAAGATTTGGTCAGACGTCATCTAACGAGTAAATCCATTTGTTGTCGCTCTATGCAAATAAAGCCCGCAAACATGCATTATGCTATGACATAAAATACCTCTCAGGCTCGTAGATACTGCATGCAACCACATATTGATATAAGACTCATGATAGGTAGAAAAAAAGTTTGACTGTCCCTTACCTCCCCCCGCTTTCAATCCGCAAGGATTTATTCCACCTAAAAGTGCGCTTCTTCGATAAAGCGAGTAGAAAGCTATGATGCCAAGATCAGATTTTCCATACCAACAAACCCTAACAACGGAAATGTCGTCCCTTTGGCGCTTTGTCTTGGTTCATAACAGGATGGAATAGTGTCATTATGGGTGTAGCACCAATGTATGTTCGTGGCCTGTAGGGCCCATTCTCGAGAAAAGCATTGCAACATACGAAGCGAGATTGTGACAAAAATAAGAATGTCGAATTAATAAAGAAGATGCGTCACAATTTTTTTTACAGATGAATCTCAATAAACTTGCTGGAATGGAATAGGGAGAGTGAACCGACATCTGGAAGTGGGTTTGCACTGGCGATTGAAAGCAATTAAATGATTGGAAAGCTGCAACTTAATCTCTTGATTTATTTTGTTAGCTTGTTTTTGTTAGTAGTTTTCTCTTTACCCTATAATCGTCGTGAAACTAAACTGACATATTATAAACGGCCTTCCAAATCGCTACTTTATCGTGCAAGAAACCCGATAGTACCCCGACACAGTGTCTACGGCTCTGATGATACACTCATTATATGTATGTCATTGCAAACACATGCTGCTTTAATTTGTGACCTATTCATTTCAGCTCCAGGTGTTCGACGCCAACAAAGACGGAAAACTGCAGCTCTCTGAAATGGCAAAGTAAGTGGACAACCGACCCTTAGCATTCTGTTACGTACGCTCCATTCGCATTATAAATGCGTCAAGTCTCACGCAGCGGATCAAACGGAATAAAATCGCGTCTAATGCCGCCAGAACCATAACTGGGTCTTAAGTCCTATGCTTGACGATCCTGTCTTTGTTCCAGATTGCTGCCAGTTAAGGAAAACTTTCTTTGCCGTTCGGTATTCAAGGTAAGAGAGGTAATGACTTTATCCCATTTTATCTTTAGATGTGGTGTTGCATGGACCGTGACATTGGCGTTCGCTCCTCCGATGTACTTCGTCAAGCAAGGCAAGACACTACAATACACGCCAGCTTCATACACAGCTTCATGCACAGGGGTCAAACCCGCTCTGACGGACGTGACCTATCGATGTACTGGTCGATGTACATAGTACTATCGATGTACATGGTACGGCATCCAACTGTATAAACGACTCATTTCGCAGCAAACCTATCAACGTTGAATGTGCCTCCTGACAGACACGGGGCGTTTAATGCATCTTCAACAGAAGGCGAATACGTCCATACACCTCAATATGTGCATTAGTGCTACTCTTCACGTGTATTTAAATCTGCACCGTCTGGGGCATTTCACCAGCGCCACACGCCTGGATCGTTAAAAGCACCCTCTGGCGTCGTATACTCTAACAGTCGAATTGGGAGTACTCAGACAGCAAATGTTTGATTTGGTCAATGGCACCCAAGCTCTCTTTGGTGGACTTCTATGTGAGTGATGACGCCGCAGGTCAAACAAAATACCATGCAGCCGCCAAAATCCTGAAACGACCTCGGGTCCCTCTAGAATGCATAGTGCCGGAAAAATTGGACATCAGTGGTATTAAAAAGTAGACGCCGGGACACTGTAACAGAAGTCGAACGAAAGGCAGTGCTCTTGCATTTTGAAATCACAACACGGTGTTAACAATGGTCAGGAATTAAAGTCAGAGCAAATTCACGCCATGTTGAGGTCGTCATCGGACATTAGCATTTTGGCCTTCCTGTTCACAACCTATGTAAGTAACTGGCTTGGAAATGGCAAGTGGCATCGATTTCATCTTAAGAGGTCGTCACAAGCGATTTATGACACCTACAAGTAAGCTTCTTATGACCTCTGTTAGTTACTTGATTTGACCTCATAAAGAATGGCTGACCTCAGCTAAAGACATTGGAAACGGTCAACGAATCAAGTATCTGGAATAACTGGGGTGTGTAATGGCAAACATGTTTACCTCAATACTTACGTGTTTCAACCCCCTAGGCAATCGGATACAAAAATATTGAGTCTTCTGCTAAATTCCCAGTTTCATTTTTTCTGGAGTCAGGCAAAATCGTCCCTGTTACAGCAACCATAGACTGCTGAAAATGACAAGTAAAGATATTGCCAAGGCTGGATTTTGAATTTTTCACGGCATGGTACACCTTAAAATGAAATTGCTGCAGCAATGAAAATGCTGCAGCAATAGAAATGTGGTAGCAATGAAAATGTTGCAGTGATGAAAATCTTGCAGCAATAAAACTCTGCAGTAATTACAATGCTGCAGTATTACGGGATGTTCTGTAGTGATGTCTCTCACAGCAACCCTCCTAAGGGTTGAACTTTGCTGATGTGTTGCAGATTAAAGAGCATGTAACATATAATAATAAAGGCAAAAACGAAGGGCACCTTTCAATAAGAAGGAGGAACAGCGTAATTTACACCAACTGCTAGTGTTGTTGGGAGATCCCTTTTCGTTCGCCGCCTGCAGGCTCTGTTCTTTCACAGCAAACATGCAAAGGTGGCTTCAGTGCTGAAAAACATAACGATACGAATGGATTTAAGTGCTGACGTGAACAATTATTGCTCAACTTCACATCTTAACGGCCAAATTCCCAAAGTTTGCGGCAGTTACCTATAGTTGAGCTAAGCAAGGTTGACTGACCTTAACTGAAGACTTACGGGTACCAGAGCACGTGCAAACAAGGACGGTCATGACTTTCGTTTTATGATACATATCTGGGTTACGATGACGTGCTTACACAGCCCTTCGCAAACGTCACTGTCGTCGCCATGGGCATTTGCGATTTTCTCTTCTTAGGACATCTCACGCAACAACGTTAATATATATATATATATATATATATATATATATATATATACACTTTCGTATGGTGATCCATGCATTCCTTGCTCCATATAAACCCAAACATGCAGTGTGAACTCTGAACATCCAGTCACGTCACTTATCAGGACATGGTATTTGCTGATCAAGCATTTACTTTAGTGAGATGCAGACAGCGAGGTGATCTCTGCTTTCGCCCATGTTTGTGGTTGTATTGTAGTAAAGTGTCCTTTTCTCTATTCAGGGCGATTCCGAATGGGTAAGGATGTTGGTTGCTATTTATGCCTGAGACTATTCACGTGGAATGCGATGTGTTTGCATGCTGCTCTTATGTTTGGTTCTAGTCAGTCATCACGGCCTTTACAGAACATAATGTGCGTGTCCGACATCTTTGCTAATGATTTGTGCCAGACGGATCACCCGTCCGCAATGGCGCTATGATGCATCGCCATGTGCACTGTGTAGCGGCCTTTGTAGTCACTGGAACAATGGTCGGTGGGACGGCCGCGTTCGCTCGTCATAGCACATACATCCGACCCAAAACGAAACGTTGCTGCTCTTTTCCTATGCCATGTGTGGTTTTACTAAACTCCTTAAAATGTTCTATCTTGTAGATATAGGCTGGAAGTGGATGAGTGAATGTAGTTCGGTGCACAATAATTATTGTGATATTTTTACACATATACAGCAAACAACTGTGAAATTTTGTCGATAAGAAAACCAGCAAGAAATGAGGAGAGATTTATACTTTGGCAGGGTCGCCGCTCGTATCTATCTGTGTATATGTATGAAGCTCGGCCCGGTTGGCTGGAGTACGTTAAAAGCCCAGAAATGGGCCGTAAGGTCTCTTTTACCCATACATCTGATGGCTTGCAAATGTCTTGTTTTAACGAGCAGGAGCTCATCTTAAAAAGGTATGAAGAAGCGCGTTTTATAAGCCAAAGATGTTTGATATTGACAGAAAGCCCACCAGAAAACAGGAGTACCTGACATGGAATATGTGCTTCGTTATTAGCCCACATGGTACCGTAATTTAATGAGCACAAGCTTTCGATACCAAATTACGAGACCTAAAATATTCACATAGCAGATTGTGCCAGCAAAAATATGATTAAAAAACGACCAAATTGCAAGACTTTCTCAACTTGTTTTTTCAGAATATTCGCAGCGATGTCGGATTCGTGGTGTACTACGGTACGTCACCAGCCAGACGGATCGGAAAAAGTTGCCAGTTGAAAAATGTTTTTGTTCCTTAGAAAGCCGGTTTATTGAACGATGAATTACGTTGGACCAATGACGCCGTAGCCAGTCAGTCCGACACCAAATTTAGTAGGAATTAGTAATATGCTCCCTTAAATGCTTCATATTCATAAGCTTAAAGGGAATGTTCCACATTTGAAGATTTTGAACTAAGCATGAGACAGGATAAAATAAGCTCACTCACAACTATTGGTGTACTCGTAGAAAGAAACGGTCGCTCGAAACAACACAGATTTCCTATTAAGTAAACATGCTCCTCATTAGGTCATTGTCCGATCACGTCATTGTATCTTGCACAACATTGATTGAGAGCCAATTGGGCGGCCCTTATGTCCGGAAATTGTGCGCAGAAACGCCAGATAGGAACGATTCGACAATTACGTTTGTCTTGGCCATCAACGCTACATGGCTAAGGGAATAGCAGGATATGAATGACGTCATGATGGCGTTACGGATGCCTGGGTGAGAAAGTGTCCCCGAAATAGTCCTCACATGTTCGCGGGCGTGTAGCTCAGGTGCTGGAATGGCTTAGGTATTCAGCCGGGCAGGGCTGTAAACTGTACCAAATGATCTTCATGATGGCTATTTCGGTTGAAGGCCCCGTGCAAATGTGGGACTCTTCCTTTAAATAAACGATAAAGGGAACGTCATCACAATGGTTGCAGTGTTTTAGCCCTGTTTAAAATGCAGTTAAAACATTGTCATTTAGCATTCCACTTAGTATGCCACTAAATATACTGTTTACAACGGTGCCTTAACTTCGTTACAACGACCCTTGACGCCGTGAAGTGACCAATCTCAGCAGCCACTGATGTGCTATCAATCAGAGTTTGTCAGATCATGTAGCATGATATTGCTTCGCTCAAAATAAACCCAGGGTCAGTTGTCAGCTGAGTGAAAGCGGATCCACGCCACAAAACGCCAGGTAATCATCCCCTGACCGAAAATCGTGGCCGTGAGCTGCCGTCTTTCCAACCGAGACGTTATGTCAGACTGGCTGAAGGAAGACGGCAGTTTTCGGGACAGCTGGATTTAAAAAATGCACAGACCAGTGTCTTCGTTTCTCGTCTTTAGAATGAAATGACTCAGTAATAGTTATGTGAGTCTTATGCTGAGGACAAGTGATTCTTGAAATCAGAGTCATATTACTCCCATCGAACCTTTTTATTCCCGAGACGGAAATCACTGACAATCGTCAGGGTGTTTTTGTCATCAATGTCATTCTCTGAGTATGATATAGGGGATGTTTTTGTACAAATCCGACTGCCGGGCTGAGCCAGCTGAGCCAGAGCTGAGTCCAGCTCACTCGCTTGATTTGTTTGCACTTTGTGTCCGTGTGTTTATGTGCCACGCCATCCTTTCTCGTCCTGCATCGCGTGTTCTTTGCCATGTCATCCCTGTGCGTAAATTGTTTTTCCGCTAATGAAGGTACCTATCCTGAAACGTGTGACTCCTGCCACTTGCCTTTTAATATCTAAATGTGTCATGCTCTTCCATCTTGACTCTATGGCACCTTTATTCATATGTTTTACTCATCGTTCGTTTTCCCTCATTATTGCTATATTTACTTTTTAACACCGATTCACGGTTGGCAATCGACGTGAAATTTCTTGAAAGGCACAACATGGATGAGGACAGAGTATTGTGATGTTTCTCCCGAGTCGTTTTGCAGGTGCTTTACCACCACATAGTTCCGTGTCTCCGTAGGTGGACCTGAAATGAAAATTGCATTGATTCGTTCTAGAATTCATGTTATTTCCTATGATTGCGTGTTAGAGCTAGCGGTGTTAGTTTGAGCGTGGTGGTGCGCACGGTATGACATCTGCACCCGAGTAGAATAATCGCACCCAACACCATTCAGAGCTCGCTAGAAGGCAGCTGGGAAAAGCTGCAAACGATGGTTTGTTAGCTGTAGGTGAATGTATGTTTGAACGGTGTGTGTGGTCTTGCATTTCGGTGTTTCCCACCACCACGGTGTCTTACAGAGGCTCCGATACTCTTCTTAGTTTGTTACCGGAGCAATCACCCTTTTCACGCGGTCTGTTACTTGCAAAGTTTTGCGTTGTTTAAGGCGTTCTGCGCTAGAGAATGAATGCAGAACCAGTCGTACTCTGCATACTTGGGTTGAGTGTACTGTGACCGCTAGCAATAGCCCTTGAGCATGAGTGTCCAAAATAACCCGGGGTTCTCTGAAGCATTTACATTGAAGCCGGCTTGAAAAGCAACGATACGTTTAGCACCTGCGTAATTACTGATCTGCTGTCTCAGAAAAGAAAGCCTTCTGCCGTCATTTTACCAAATCGAGTACACTTGCTAGGTGGGCTAAGTTGGAAATGTCGCTCAATCTTCGACGTGCACAACTGAAAACTTGCCTTGTAGTGTACTGGTAAACGGCACATTCTAGCCGGCGTTTGAGCCCGAACGATTTGCATTTGTAGCTGTGTGTCAAAGCGGCGACTGCCAGTCTTTTCTTTATTCCAGACCACCCTGCCTTATCTTACTGCCCAGCATCCTTGACCTCGTTGACACCGCGCGGTAGTCTCCGGTTTGAAAGAACATCTTCTTTTGCACTAGGGAAAGCGAAACAACGTGCCGTGCATACGCCAGCTTAAAAGCTAATCTGGGTGTGTCCTCAGCATTCTGGAGCATCTGCACTGCTAGGTCGAGCTGTATGGCATAGTCTTTTATCTACTGGCCTCTGATAACTCAACGTAATCGTTATATTGCGTGAAGTCTGTCAACTTGTGTGAATTCGTTACATTCGTTTAGTGCCCTGTCACTCGACACACTTACCAACTGTGTCACAAAACGGAAAGGATGTCCCGGTGGAAAAATCACAATAAGTCACGCCGGCCACATTCATGATGTGAAGGAAAAGTGCAGCGCGTTAACGTTTCAACGTTTTCCAAATGTGCTTCACCTCGGAAACAAGTTCATGAAACAAACATTTGTGGCACGAGCTTCCAAGCGTCACGGACAATCACAGTGGGCAAGTCGTCTGGGGAAGCTGATGCAAAATAGCCTGCCTGCTGATGAGCTCAGCTTCATGTTCAATTGATAACCAGTGCATCTGTAACCAAACCCAAAACGAAAATAGGATGAATGATGCGTAACGTGCTGTGCCCCAACTACCGTTTGCTCGAAGGCTTGGTTTTATCTTTTTCTGGAAGAAACCACATATCAAGACAAGGCATTTGAATAAGTAATTACGAGGAGACAATACAGGCAAAGGTAGGTTCTATATGCAACGTGCAATTTTAGCCATAACTTAAAATGAATGCAACGGCTGTTGCGTCCAGTGCACCTGTGGCCTGTTTTTAAGCAGTTCTTAAACTATCGCATGTAATAGTAAATCTGCCAGACTACGCCCCAGCCACACCGACAGCACTGAAATAAGTAAAAGATTCGGCTGAAGAACTGGCGCAATTTACATGCGCTCTGCTGACGTAACTGTGATGTCTTTTCAGGGTGCTTCGAAGCTCACAAGGGATGACATCGAACGAGTGTTTGCGCTATACGACAGAGTAAGTGCGGCGATGTTGGTAGTTCTTGACTATATATATATATATATATATATATATATTATATATATATATATATATATACATATATATTAGTTCATGGATGATAGACCTGTTGATATCTCACTATTGGACCAAGTAGCCCATGCGGTCTATAATACCCACGTGGTGGTGAGTCTCACTAGTGAGCCTACAACGAAGAAACATCAGTTCATTGAATTTTTGGGCAAGCAGCCAAGCCTTGGTGGTCTCATGGGGTCAAAGGTTGACACGGTGGGAATAGGCAGGATAAGAAAACTGTTATTTGAACGCGTTTTGTTTCTTCTTCAAGGGATTGTTTCGTGACTATTCCCATTAATGTGCTCAGCTTGGTCTTATCACGCGTTTCCCATCGCCTGCATTATCCACTCACGTGCCTGTATGGTATTTTACATGATGCGACGCAGATATATGGATTTGCATGCAAGTGTGCAAAATTTGTTAGGCATTGAGTAAAATTACATGCAATAGTTATATCTTATTGCTCCCACCCATTGCTAGGCTGTTTCCATGCGTTTTTGACTTTGCATATTTGTGGTACATGCTGATCCCTATATTTCAATTAATGCATCTTGGAGCCGTATGAGCAAATATCTAATGAGGCTCGAATTCCTTCTGTGTAGATGCTTATAATGCCGCACAAATATTGAGGTCACGTCCGGCGTCAAAGAATATGGTTGGACCACATCATACCGTCATTTATTTGCACGCTATTTATGCACACTTAGCAATGTTCACAGAAGTGTAACATGCCTTGTACATCGCTCATTTTAGGATAATAGTGGAACTATTGAAGATGACGAACTAACGGGTTTCCTGAAGGACCTTCTCGAGCTGGTGAAGAAGGTAAAGTATTTTTATGATTTATTGTGTCGGGGCATAAGTAGAGAATACATATTGATCGTTTCCAACAACTGCGATGACAAGTAACAAAGATACGAATTCAGAATTACTGTGACGTTTTTTACGCTTTTCCACCGCCTCAACCTAACACAAAGAGCGCATGCCATCCACGAAAACGTGTATATCAGATGTCACCTAAAGCGAGACTTGTGGTCTTGCTCTACTACGACGTGCGCACGGCCTGATTCCCACCGAGCCCGCGCGAGCGCGCTGACGTCTGTGGACGGTCGACAACCATTGCCAGTCAACCACCGACGATTGGCGACGGTCTTGCAATCCAACCATATAAGACCGTCCGCTTTTTCCAACGATCGCCGCTGTCGGCGTCATTGGTGGCGGCTGCCGACGGCCGTCAACTGTCGTAAACGGGGATGGACTGGCGCATTGAGTACCGGTTTAATAAATGGGAACGCGTAGTAAAAACAAAGATGACCATCACGGACAATCAATTCCCGCTCGAAAGTTGAATTCGAGGGTGAACGCCGTCATTTATAGCGACACAACTACTGTGTGCAGGATTACGATGCCAAGGATCTGGATGAGTTCCAAGAGACCATTCTGCGAGGGTGCGACTTCAACAGAGACGGGAAGATCAACAAGAAGGAACTGACCATGATCCTGATGGCACTGTCTAAACACAACGAAGAAGAGACGGAGCAGCAGTAAGCTTGCCACGCTTTTTCCGTTGTCGACCGGAGCAGTGTTCTTCACTGTTGGAGCCGCCCGTTCTTAATAACGCATTTTAATTACCCTTCGTATATAGCCGAGTTCTCCATGTATGTACCATTTAAAACGCCCGGTTGTTCACGCGTGTTTCAAAAACGTCAGGCTTAAAAGATATGCGTCATGTGACCTAGGACGCATGTCTTTTATTCTAAAGGCCATGACGCTCTGCGATTTACCTATTATTGAATGAGCATGCCGCTTATATTGCATTGTCCAGCAAAAAACAGGTGTTTTACGTTTGAGGTACCTTCCAGAAGTTCTTACAAAGAAGCATGGGCGATGTATTTGTTAGATGGGTTGCTGAAGCTGGGATGTAGCTGAGGATATTACCTATTATTAAACGACCTCCGTCATGGAAGGCATTGCTATACCAGCCCTTTATTTGTGTGTCTATTAAAACAGTTGCTTATACGACTTATTTTAATGTAACTAAAGCTGCAATCTTGCTTAAGTGTTGCGCATTTGCTTGGTGGGATTTGAAGTAATTTCACCGCTTAACCTGCGCTCGTCTTAGAGTCAATTTGCTTTTCCCCGAAGGCGTTTCCAAAATAATCTCCAAATGGCACTACGTAGGCGCACCAAACTTTGTAAAGCTGCAGGCAGCTGCATAAAACTATTTTGTTTAAAGAAATCAGACGTTGCTGGTAAGGTTGTTGAAGTACGGCAGGTCAAAATCAAGCAAAAGCTTTCCAGTTTTGCATTCCTGTGAGTCTATGGAAATTGTTGTTTCACTTCAATGGTTTGTGACATTTTTTTTCACAAATTTACAGGCGACCTTCAATTTTTTGTTTATTTACATTAAGATGACGTATTGCATGCATCTACATTGCAGTTTACATGGTATTTGCTAAAACATACTCCTGGATCATGCTGTGTCCTGTGTGTGTGTGTACCTTTTCATGGCTCTCAGGTTTACGAAGCCGCCATGCTCCATACCAGGCACGTTACATAGCGTATCACATCGAGTATCTTATGTCTAGGGCTCCATATACACATTCAGACGCAAGCTACCCTTGCTTTCCTTAAAATTGGATTTCCAGTAATTTAATACCCAGCGGGTAAAGAATTTCATAGGCCACCAAACTTAGCAGGACTTGATATTTTGAGTCGAAATTTCCCGGCCGGCAATGAATGACGCACGCATACATTACTAGCTTTCTTAACGCAGCGAGGAAAAAGTCCATGAAAGCGCCCATATGTATGTGGTAAAGCATGTCGTAAAACGTACCTTCTCATTGGACCGCATCCTACGATTTACTCGTGATTCTGCACGCGGGAATGCTTTGTTTCGCAGCACCCATTGCCTTTACGCATGGTGCTAGTGCTTGCATTATCTACCGACCCCAGCAGCCAGTGAACACAACAAACCCGAGCGTCAGCCTGCATCTCTTCCGACCATCACGTGCTGTGTGGGCCCTCTCATCCACTCGCTGTGTGTGCCGCCTGCTGATGACGTCACCACGCCGTTCGTGTCGGCTACAGACCCGGCGCCAATGTCTGCTCCTTATTTACCGCCTGCTTTGCGTTCTGTTCACTCCAGTCAGTGCTCTTCGACGTCCGCCGTTCCGTAAGTGCCATTTATTGTGTGTCTGGCCGATTTTGCAGCATGTCCGCTTTTGGATTCTGAGTCACACGTCGGAGATGCTGTTTGGCTGCAGGTACGTTTAGCGCGCATTTTGTCCCCGCCTGTTTTGCCAGTGGCACTGACGGTCGTGTGTAGTTATGCCGTTCCCTTTCAGCGCGTTGCTTTTTTCCACTAATACTGCACTAATATGCCGCTGCAATCATTAGTAACTCCGTCTCGCACGAAAATTTCGTCAGCGACTATCATGCAGTAAGGCGTTATGGGATGTCACGCGCGGTTACAACTATTAGATGGCCATGCACAAGTGCAGAATCGCATGCATGCACGCTACCTCGGTTGAGCAGCGAAGTACACCGTCTATACTAAAAACATAGACATCAATATGTGTCGGGATTTTTCCACGGCGAAACCCAAGATGCGTGGCGAGCGGTGATATGATGGGGGACTCGTGTGCAAATGGACAACAGTGTGAACGAGAAACAGTTGTGTCGGTCGATGATCAGCCCTCTCCATTCTTGTGACGCGGTGAAGCCTTTCCAGGAGCGCCATTGGGGAAATCACGAGCTTTGGAATGCGAGCTTTGCGCATGCAGAAGCTGCGTGTGCGACACTTCGTCAACCGCACTTTGGGAACGTCATCCCCTGTTCCGAACAACACGGCCAAGAGTTAGTCTGGCCTCGCGCCTCGGAGGACGACCACGGCAGCTGACACCTACCGGAGACCCTGCCAACTAGAATTGCGAATGGGTGGCGTGCAGAGTGTGGCCGTCATTTTCAGCCGAGGCGATTTGTTATGTAGCCAGCTGTCTGCGAGTGTGTTTCTTGTGCCGTGATGCATTCGCTTTGTGGTGGATTTGATATATGGAGTAAAAGTGATCAGTATGGGGATGGCTAATCTGGTTTTGAATCCATATATCTTAGCGAAGGTGCTGGTAAATGCGTGTGCTTCGCGTTTGCTTTGAAATCGTAATGGTCAACGCAACCCGTTTTTTTCCTGTTCCATTATGAGTGCATTTCGTGGTGGGAAGTTCTTTCAAAGATGAAGTGGCATCTGTATTAATCCGGTGGATATGTTGTGTTGGCCGGGAGTGTGCTTTTGTCTTTCTTCGTCAGTCTGACGACCTCTGGAGCGCAAGTCCTCAGCACTGGACCCGCGTTGCAAGCCCTGCCGTTGCTGACCAGCCAGCCGCAGAGCTCAAACCTTTTATTTTCGGGGAGAGCTCATATGCCTGTGTCAGTGGCAACAGCAGGCTTTGTTATTGGATTGCGCACTTCAGGCCGTGTCTGACGAAGTGACAGCCGACCTTGATTTGGCGCGGCGAGTTAGGTTTGACCTTAAGCGTGCATTATAGCCGAGGGAATATTGCTGGATGTTTTCTTATGTGGTGCGTGTCTCGTTTAACTCGCCATAAGATCGAAGTTTAGGCCACACATAAGAAGACGGCTGCCTTTAGCCATTGTATTACTTGCTTCAGTGGACCTCTGGTGTGAATCGGTCTCTGAAGTGTGCTAACAGGTGGCTCGTACTTTCATGATTGACCGTAAATCGGTTTGTGTCAAAGTCGTCGGCGAACACTGCAGCGCTAGTGTCATTATGCACCAGCGTTGTCATGTGCGTGTCGCCCTTGTGACACAGCGGTACGTGAATTCTTCATGGTAAAATCTGTCAGCCAGAGGTCGACCAACGGGCAAAAGCGAGACCAGATCCTGCCCCATGTTGCAAACAACATTTTTCTTTCTTCCAATCAGCGTAATCATATTTGACTAACTTCCACGCCCTGAAATTCTCGCCAACTCCAGAGGTTCACGTGTGCTTCTTTGGTGCGGCAGCCGACGCCAGTGTTGTTGGAGCGGGTGTGTTCGTGCGGAGCGTGGCTGACCGAGTGGTGGCGGGTGGCGCGGTGCTGCCGTCGCGGGCGCCGCGGGTCAGCCGGGCGCGAGGACCGGCCTCCTGTGGCCGCATGTGTGGTGGCGGGTCTCGGCCGCCGGCTCCCGACCGGCGCGAACTCTCCAGACGTTTCTATCTCTAGATGTCACCAGTCTCGGCCTGCCGTCAGGCCTGCGCCCTCTCTGTGTCTACTCGGCCGCCGGTGTCGGTGGCGTCCGTGGGCGCCCGTGTGAGCCGCGCTGTCGGCGGCCCGCGTCGGGGCCGACCGGCCAGCTGCCGCCGCCGTCGAGCTGCCAGCGGCAGCTGCCGCAGCTGCCGCAGCTGCCGCAATCCGGCCCGGCGACAGCTCAGCGGCCAGCGCTGCCTCGGCCGACTTCTCGGCGGCGGCGGTCGCGGCGCGGGCGCGGCGCATTTGTATCCATGTATATTCTCACCTTGCCGGCGCCGAAGCGTGCGTCCCTCTGTGTGCGTTGCCGATGTCGAGTCGTTACATCTCCTCTTATTACCTGCCGGCCTCGCTCGAGGCTCGCCGGTGAATCCGACGCCCTTCTCTCAGCTCGATTTCCCGTTAGTTACCGTGAGGTGGCCATTCGGGTGAAAATACAACGTTTAAAGGACTAGAGGACGCCAGGGAATCTCTCGCAGCGGTTGCAAACACGTGGCGCGGTGAGAGACCCGGACACTGGCTGCTGATGGGTGACGCGGAGAAGCTCCAGCAAAAAAACAACTGACTTCTTGAGCCGTCATACGAGCTTTCCTTCGGAGCAGCTCTGCTTCGTCCACATATCCGATGCGCTGAAATGTAGCGGATCGTGTCGAGAATGCTTGTCCATCTATTAAAGCTGGTAAGTATTGGAACACGTTGTATTGGCAATAGATAGTCTACAATAGCCACAAGACGGCAGATAACTTCCACATGGTCAGGGATAATGCTATAGCTCACACGTCTGATGCCCAATGTCGCTGGACGGGTGGAGACCGTCAGGTTATCGGGCAGACCCATCGCGCGCCGTACAGCACCACTCCAGACCGCCGCTGCCCTCCGGTCGGGCCGAATACGCCCGGATATACGCCGTTCACCCGAATTTAAACGGCATGTCGTCCACATCCCACGATTGTTCAGACGAGCGTCCGTTTTTATGGGCGGTTTGGGGCTGAGATAAGCGGATTACGGCCGTGGTCACTGGTCAGTCATGCCACATAGCCCTCTGCACTACCGTACAGCCTCTCTTGCGGATCAGGGTTGATCTCCTTTCCAACAGCCGGCGCGTCACCCTAGCGTGGCACACAGTCAGCCAGCCACTAAGCGTGGCACACAGCGACTATGGGATGGCGGACAGCAATGACTAAGGCGTGGTGGACAGCAGTGGCTAAGGTGCGACGACATCAGTGAATAGGGCAACACGCGGCGGACGGCAGTGACTAATGCATATACACAACAGCCTGTAACGCACGACAAACAGCAGTGACAATGGTGCCCAAATCGGTGTCGTTACCACGAATGGTTTCGCCTGCAAGGGCGGTGGCTGACCTCAAACGCGACCTCGCTGGCTCGGGGAGGGGGGTGTCCCTCGGGGAGTATCACATTCGGGCTGCTACGTCCTCTTCCCATTTACCACGCCGAGCTCCTCGCCACCTATATCGCAGTGTACCCTGCCGCACCCGCGACAACGGCATCCATTGACAGCATGGCCGCGTTGCACGATGTACGTAGGGGAGAGCGCTCGTCCGCGTGGGTCTTCCACGATGTACGTAGGGGAGAGCGCTCGTCCGCGTGGGTCTTCACGGTGAAGAAGGTCTTAACAGCCGGGCTGTTGGCCTCCGGTATGTTCTGCCGGCTTAAAATCCAGCAGATCCCGCCAGCAGGTCCCACCCAGCTGCAAACGTCGCTGTCGTATTCACCGGTGACAACTGTACCAAATGACCAGCCCCTGCCCCTAAGTGGACACACTGCCCAGGACCCGCCTGCGTGCGGGTGGGTCGGCCGGGGGCGGCTGGCGGTGGGCAGTTGTGAGTAACAGCTGTAGGCCGGCGGTCGTCCCCGTGCGACGGAGCAGCTAAGACCACGAGCGGCAGAGCTAGAGGCTTTTTTGGTTTGGGGCTCCTCGGCCGTGCATTGTGCTGTCTTCACAGCTGCTCCGTCGCACGGCGACGTCCGGCAGCCGGCAGCTGTCGCTCAGAACTGCCCACACAACAGTGACCAACATGCGGCGGGCAGCAGTGACTAAGGCGTGCCCAACATCAACGACCACGGCGTGACGCAACAGTGGCTAAGCCATAACACAACAGGGACCAAGACATGACACGGCAGTAACTAAAGCGTGCCACAACAGTGACCAGCGCGCGGCGGGCAGCAGTGACTAAGGCGTACCCAACATCAACGACTACGGCGTGACGCAACAGTGACTAAGCCATGACACGGCAGAGACCAAGGTGTGACACGGCAGTAACTAAAACGTGCCACAACGGGGACTAACGCACGGCGGACAACAGTGACTAAGGCGTGATAATATCAGCGACAAGGGCGTGACACAGCAGTGACCGGCGCGCGGCGGACAGCAGTGACCAGGACGTAATGCGCACTGACTGACGTTTGACGCGACTCCGTGCCGTCTAACAAGCACGAGCGTCGCCCCGGACGAGACCAGAGTCTGTATCTTGTTGACATGTCAGTTATGCCAGGAAATCACCCACAACTGAACTTCTAAAAAAGCCCCATTTAGCAGGTAAGGGTTCTTGCCAATTCCTGAACTGCAGATCTTTGGCCACACGTGTACATTTTTGCCAGTATTGTCATCAGGAAAACGACCATGTCACCACAGACTGTATTTCTTGTGATTCGGAGTACGTGACTGGGCCCATTTGAACAGGGTGGTAACAACACTTTACAGTCGTATTCGACCAGCGGATTTGTCGACACTGTTATCAGCAATACTCATGCGTCAGAACTGATCGGCGTGGTAGTGCCGCTGTCTGACAGACGATGACGGCGGCGTCCTCCAGTCGCGGATGGTTTGTAAAATTTTGACATTTGGTACAATAAGACTGCAAGACGGCGTAATAACGTTAGTAAGTTCAAGCAATGGTCATCATTGGTCTGGGGTGATTATCGACGACAGTCATCTTATATAAACAGACAGACATGGACAATGGCAACAACAAATCCACTACGCAGACAGCAACCCATAATGTACGAATGATTTATGTCAGTTGCGGTCCAAGACCCCTCCACTTGAATCAGCCATCCATCGCAGATATATATGATATCCATCGCAGATATATATGATAATAAAGTAATGGTAGAACAGTAAACTCCAGAAAGATACCACATTCAGCATGTTCTTATGAAAAAAACATCCGGAGTCGAGCTTATTCATGAAATTAGTTTTGGACCATGTCGTCTCCTGACGCCGTTTAAAGACGTAGCTCTATTTTTTGAAGATGAACACAATTTAGATAGAACCCAGTCGCATTCGCTTGCCACACACAACAGCTACACATTTGGAAACGCATTATTGGCAGCGTAAAGTAAAACGCCAGCTCAAATGAAGGTAGGTACAAACGATAGCACACAAGGACTCGCGTACCATGCAATAGCCTGATGTGAGGCATTTGCATGATATTTCACATAACACCGAGTTCTAACATCCAGTTCAGTTGAGGCGCGCCAGGGGCCTGACCACATTCAGACATTCAATACCCCTGGGACGCGACTGACCCCTTGATAAAAAGAAAAGGCAGCCATAGGCTCTGATTGGTCCCTCGTATTATGTGAAATATTGAGGTCACTTGCTCCGCCATCTGCTGTACAACGAATCCATTGTAAGCACGTCAGATCTCATGGGAATCGGCTCGGTATGTATCAAGTACTGCGCCATTAAGAGCAGTCATTAGTACACGGGACCCGCGGCATATCGACACTTGGTGCCTTCGGCGTCGCTCGACAAGACACAGCATGTAACGCACTCTCAGATATGGTAATTTGCCGTTCAACGATCTAAAAATCTTCAAGATCACAACACGTGGCACCGCATTTTATGATGCTAAAGCAATTATCAATCAGGCGTAGTTGTGTTTGAGATGTTACAGGAAAACCATTTAAAATGTTCCGGAAGTTCTAGCGTGACTAACCAGCCTGGAGCGTGCCTGCCAACGCATAATCTTTCCACTGACGCAGAAGGGGACAGGGCTGGGTTAAGCCGAACTTTCACGCGCGCTGTTTGTGACCTCTGAGTGCCCGGGGTCGGCTGTGAGGTCACCAGATCTGCATTGACCTCAGGTCTTGCTCGGTAGGGTCTGGTCTCCAAGCAGTGGCTCCGGCTTAGTATCTTGCTGGGGTACCACCACCAGCAGCTTTTGCAGAAACTTCGTCGTTTTATCTGCAACGGAATCCTTCCTCAGTGGGTTGAACGCTGAAAGCTTTGCAATGTATGACTGTTTTGGCTAAGTTTCTAAAACAAAAGTCGCTGGAACACTAGGCGAGCAAGGACAAGTAAGCGGTACCAATTTGCCAAGGTTGATCGCTAAGGACCTCCTGTCATCCGTCAGTGTCATTTAATATTTTATTAGGTTGTCATCAAACCGCTACGAAACCATGTTGTGAAAATCGAGGAAAGACTGACCATCAGTCTCGGTTAATTAAGTAACAAGTATGCCGCATGTTTCTGGGAGAAGTGAGCTAGGCAGATCCCCTCGTCGCTGGTGACAGGTCAAATCGGGAGACAGTATGGCGTTTCTCACCGTTAAATCGTATCAGCGACTTGGGCTTGTTCTTCCACTGTACGCCAGCAACGTAGATGGGTATGCCGGTCAGGGCGATACAGGCTCCGACCGCTGAAGGTAGCGGTGTCAGAGATCACAGCCAGGACTGGCATCAGGCTAGCTGTTCGGCACTGACATCATGCTAGCTGTTCGGTACTGACATCACGCTAGCTGTTCAGTACTGACATCAGGCTAGCTGTTCGGTACTGACATCATGCTAGCTGTTCGGCACTGACACCAGGCTAGCTGTTCGGTACTGGCATCAGGCTAGCTGTTCGACACTGACATCAGGCTAGCTGTTCGGCACTGCGCGACTGCGGTCACGCACCCGGCAGTATTCGAAAAACACGACCATGAATATGAGCCTTTTGGTATGGAGTACAAGTTTTACTGGGACATCGGCATGCGTACACTCATGGGGCAACTTTGTTCAACAGCGCGTCAGCAGAGGTGGCCAACATTCACAATAACCTTCACTTGCTGAATACTTAGTATTGTTAAGGCACGATCGGACGTCAGTCAGTGATCAAGTGGCAACGCTTCAAAAGGCCTGTCGGATGATAAATGTGATGAATGATGTTGGGTCTTACCAGCATTAAAGGGCTCTGCCACCATCGGAACAGCAATCAGGAACAGGCAGAAGCAGAAGAACGAGATCGGCACCAGTATATTGAACTTGATCGGTCTGACCAGATCCGGCTTCTTGTACCTGAAACACGCACGTCCAGACGGTGTAATACGCGAGACAGTATGCTATCACCCAGACGATTGCAGCTTCCAAGAATGCATGCAACCTCTGGCTGGGTCCCTGGTCTTCTCATCGATTACGGACATACATCAACGGAGAAATTTGATAAATTGAGCTCCCAGCAGTTCCCCTGAGGTGCAATAATGCAAACAGTGTTTGAAGGTGAATGAGCATACCTACCAGAAGCATGCAAAACTTTTGTCAGTCCTTACACAACAGGATTTTTTCAGTCTACGCCGCCCACAACGCAGACATCAAAGATGGCCGCGCCCGAACCACATGTCTACTTATCGACATGGACCCCCTGTCATACAGCATCAGTTATACTATAAAGTGTAAAATACACATCCATACGCACACACAACACACACACACACACACAACACACACACACACACACACACACACACACACACACACACACACACACACACACACACACACACACACACACACACACACACACACACACACACACACACACACACACACACACACACACACACACACACACACACACACACACACACACACACACACACACACACACACACACACACACACACACACACACACACACACACACACACACACACACACACACACACACACACACACACACACACACACACACACACACACACACACACACACACACACACACACACACACACACACACACACACACACACACACACACACACACACACACACACACACACACACACACACACACACACACACACACACACCACACAACACACACACACACCACACACACAACACACACACACACACACACACACACACACACACACACACACACACACACACACACACACACACACACATATATATATATATATATATATATAATATTATTCTATATATCTATATATCTATATCTATAATCTCTATCTATATCTATCTAATCTATATCTAATCTACTATGTATATGTATATTTTTATATATATTATATATATATATATATATATATATATATATATATATATATATATACATATGCATATATACATACATACGTATGCATGTTATACTTTATATCATAGATGTATCTATATATATATTTTACTTTATATTATGTATATATTATATATATATATATATATATATATATATATATATATATATATATCGAATAAACACTGGCCACGCTCCACCGTAAGCGTGTAAACGTCTACGGCAGTGTGTATTTTCCACGTTGAAGCGTTAAGCTCGCAAAATCGTTGGGTCTCAATCCCCGCCAGACGCGATCCATGCAAGAACAGAGCGACAGGCTGGGGGGATGACATTGCCTGTCCTTACCTCCACCAGAGCTGTCCGGCCACGGCAGCGCCCACCATCGACCACAGCACGAACGAGACGTAGTTGATCAACAAGTAGACGTTGTCACCCATAGCGACCATGACCAGGGACAGGGCATACTGCAACAGAACGATACCTCATCAGAGGTACGTGAAAAGGGACATTTAAACTATAATAACGGAGTCGCACCATAGCAAAACAATCTTGAAACGGGCACCATGCTTGCAGCAACGTAACGACACAACACCGGAGTGTTGTTCAATAGGACTGTATGCACTACAGTAGGACGGTATATAACGTGGTACGTACTGAGGTATGTACTGGAACAGATTAACGTTACTTCACAGCGATTCTCACCAGATATAGCACAGTCTGCAACAACGTTGCACCATTATTTCGGAGGGATCCTCAGCGGGAAAGGTATAAGATAAGCTATTGCCGGGAAAGAACGAGCTGGAAGCAGCGCAACAGCATGTCAGAACGATCGCCGCTGAGGACAGGACGAGCTGGAACAGCCGAGCTACACCATAACAGAGACGCGCTGAAACAGCCGAGCTACACCATAACAGAGACGCGCTGAAACAGCCGGGCTACACCATAACAGAACCACCATCAACAGGAACAGCGCCTACCGCGACAGCAGAGCGACGCCTATCAGAGCCATTATCAACAGGAACAACGTGTGCCACGACAGCAGAGCGACGCTAACATAGCCTCCACCAACAAAACTGACAGGTGCTGCAACACCTGAGCAGCAATATGCTGGAGCCACCACCAATGGGGACAGCAGGCAACGCAAGATCCGACTGACGCCGCACCGGAGCTGTCACCATTAGGACAAAGCGCGGAGCGACGGCCGAATAACACCACATCAGAGCTACAACCACTTGTGGCAATGGCTATTGCGACAGTGGAGCGACGCCATATTGCAGACGTCATCGCCATTCTCTGCCGCGACAGCGGAATGACGCTATACCGGAACCACCGCGTTTGGAGTCTGGCCACGGGTTTCGCTGAAAGGAATGACGGTCGAGACCATAACGGACCCAGCACCGTAAAGCAGACCAGCGTGTTAATTAGACCCCATCTCTGCCAGGCCATAAGCATCGCACATTTCGCCGGCTTCAGCACCAGCGCAGGCGGTCTAGTATCATTGCCTTTTTTGCCCAGCGTTGGTTTGGTTTGGTTTAATCCCGCTAAGTGCAGTGTTTAACTATATGCATATGATGTTGTCAAGTACAGGCATGCCGCGGAGACCAAAGCACAAAGTACGTAACGACCCTGTGGACAAAATAGCGTGTGTGTGTGTGTCTTAACTAAAAACCCTGCGCGTTCGACCCATCGAGCGTCTGCAGGTGCTGCGCTCATATTCCACAATAGCTAAACACAACTCTGTACGCTCACGATGACGCGAAACGCCCGGTGGAAGTGGCGGCCGGCCTGGTCCAGGTGCGTACCAACAGCAGCAGGGCCGGGATCGGTGTGCCGCGCTCCGGATGCACGAACGACAGGATGGCGGGCAGGTGGCCCTCCTGGGCGCCGACGAAGAAGAGCCGAGACGACGTGAAGATGATGCCGTTGACGCCGCCGAAGGTGGAGAGCGCCACGAACACGGGCACGGCCCACACCATGACGCCGAACGTTTTTTCGCCGAAGGTCTGCCGAAGGAAGGAGTCGCGGTCAATGGGCAGTCGTGATGAAGTGACCGGGGCAGCAACGGCGCCATACACGACCGACCGAGTTTTTCGCATGCCCCGACCCTAAGTACTCAGGCTTTCTGAATTGGAGCAGGCGAGTAATTGCTGTGAACTGTAAGAGCAAAATGGAAGGTTCACATCTCAGCGTGGCATTGAAGTTGAATTTTCGCTGCATTTGTTCTTTTGTTTAGGTGATTATTGATGTCATGCTCCTGTTCAAAAGATTCATTACAAGACCAAACGATGTCTGGCAAGACAATACAGTCATAAACCTACAGAGCAATCACGTTGAGGACAGGGAGTCAAATGAAATGAAATGTATTTGAAGAGAACAAGCATTTCATATTAGTTATCGAGGAGCATGGTGAAATTATAACGCAATAATAACAAATTGAGATGGACAAAGACAGCTAATGAGGACATTTTTAAATAATTTTATTTGCGGCCTATGTTAGGCGAGGATCATCTGGCCAGGTGCATGCGAGGTATCGAGCTAAAAGGAAGTTTCTTTTTCACTTTGAGATGCCAGATAGCTCAGGAACCCATGGCATGTACAGGATTCAAGACCATTTTAGGGCCTCTCAGAATGTATTATTCCTTGTCTGTCTGTTTATTCTATATTATTTCCGCGCTTCATTGGAGTGCATCTAAAAACGGTATGCGTACCACGACTTGACTGCCACAAACATATGACGTGCCATTTCCCCAACTATGGCCATTGATTTAACCATTCCATCCTGGCAGCATAGGCAAAGGTCCCAGACTCGGCAGGGGTCGCCAGGGAGGCCCGCTCTGCAAATTCGCTTTACGGTCGCATGTGACCGTGACGGGGCTATTGGCGACAAGTGCATGCGGCCGTCTCCGCCCTCAGCCGGCGGTCGGGTCCGTGCCGCTGATTGGCTGTCGCCTGTTCAGCTGCTCTCGACAGGTGTTCGGTCGATAGTTCTCGCCACCGGCGATCGACCGCAGCGCGCGAGTGACGAACTGCAGGCGGCAAAACTGGGCTTCCCTCTTATCCCAATTCTCCACCCCCTTTCAAACTGCAAGGACCGGCCGGTCAACATTTTTGATTGTCGTTTTTTTAGTTGTTTTCAATGTATGTCCTACGTATGCTTTGAGCTTCGCAAACTCATGAGCCACACGTCTCCCTAACACAACCAAATAATGCAGCACTGACGGATAATGTGGCCTTCGGGGATTATTGTTTTGGAGCACCTTTTATCTTAAGTCATGAGGTACATGCATTGACATATCTCGGTGATCTCTCATAGCCCTCTCAAAGCTCAAGCATAGTGATGCTTGGGATTTCAGCGCTATTCTTGAATCCAGTGCGCGTTTAGCATCATACCAGCAAAGTATGTCATAGTTAATGATGGCACGACTCCATGGTTCCAAATGGCATGTTGAAGCTGTCCTATTTCCAACAAGGGTGCAGTAAAATTTAATTGCTTTTACCTCGTTATCCCATAAATTGCCCTGCCTGCAACTCCCTGAATATACTGTTAGAATTCCTTTGAAACAACTGCGTGAAGGCACCATCAGCCAATAAGGTATGACTCTTTAATGACCTACGCCGTTCCGGGGGCGTTCCAATGTGCCGGTTATCCCCCTCCTACAAGGCCTACAAGGCCTCCTTGCTGCCCCTCATAGGTGTGGCGGTGCACAGAGGATCTCCACCAAACGTCAGGAATATGCCGCACGACCCAGTTCCGATAAAAGTCCCGTCTCATCTCTCATAAACAATGTGCATCCCACACAGCGTGAAGCTGGGCGCCGGGCGAAAGCCCGTTCAATGTCGGCTCGCACCCGCGTGACATGACGCGGAAGACCACCCAACGACGCACGGTCATCCCAGCCCCCACGCGCCGGCGTGCCCTTCATGAACAATGTCCGAGATACGAATCCCGGCCCTGAAACAGCTAACAAAAACGTGCGTGCGTTGGACGCGCTGCGGCCGGCGCGACGGCGACGGCCGGCCTTGGCTGGCGCCGCCGCCGGGCGCAGGTGGCAGCACCGGCGCGCCGGCCAGGCCGGCGCTGGCGCTGGCGTCGCGCTCGCCGGGGGGTGCCGGCCGCCATGCGGCGCCGATCAATCGCCGTCGTCGGCGCCGGTCCGCGCCGGCCGGCAGCGGCGCCCGGCTGCGCACGTGCCGCACTCACCACGGCGACGGCCGGCGAGGCCAGCATCTCGGCCGGCGACACGACCGAGAAGTAGGCGACGTTGGCAGCCACGTAGACCAGCGTGACAATGGGCATGGCGATGCCGATGGCCCGCGGCAAGTTCCTGCCGAGACGCCGGGGAGGAGTCGTTAGCGGTGTGGTGTAGGGTCTGTCCGGGCACGTCCAGCCGCGGTGTAACGAGCACGCCTGTCCTGACCAGTTCACACATAGAGTTCGCGTGATTTGATGTGAGCATGCCATCTGCAGATACTGACTGCCCACACACAAAGAGCCGAGAAGACATCCAGCAAGAGACATCCACTCACAGTGCGATCGTAAATTAGGTGGCATATGGTCGACGTTAAACAGCAGACGTCTCACCCAATAGTGCTGTCTTGTTCCACTGACACCTCTCAGGGCGTACATACAGTGCTCGTTCTGTACGACCCTCAGGGGTTACAGAGAGTTGGGATGAACTGATAAACAGTTACGAATTGCTTTTGTTTTTCCAGGGGTCTAGCACGTCGCATGTGTATTGCCAGTCATATCACCCGTCTACATGCGCAAACGATGGCTGGAAAACATCCGGTGTACCGCTAGAAGTCCGGCGGAGGACAAACATTGCAGTCACGCCACGAGAAATTGATGACATGAAAACACATCATGGGACTTTTTGTTACATCAGTCGTACTGACCACAAACATGGTTATGGGCACCGGGGAAAGACTTGGGTGATATCATTGAGCCTACCAGGGTATTTCTTGCTATTAAGTTTGCTTTCCCATAAAGTTTGCTTTTGCTGCAAACATCGGTCCTGCATGGGATGTTTGCGGCGTGCACTCGACAAAGCCACCTTTTGAGCTCAGCCATCTGGCAGCCGCGGCTATAGGTTTGATGGCGACAGTGGCCTGTGTGATGGCCAAATGATGCAGACGGCGATTTGCACAAAATGGATAATTTTGCACAATCAAGGTAAGTTTGCACTGTGTCGTGCGCGGAAAAAGAGTCCAGTGCATCCAAAGTATTTTTCCTCTTGCAACACTGTCTAACTGTGAAATTTGGATTCGTCGTTTAATACGCAAACGCGACAAGATAGACAACAACTGTACTGCGAATCAAAAACACATCTCGATAACTTAAAAACATCCACAGTATTCTTCCTCTTGCAACAATGTCTAACCGTGAAATCTGGATTCGTTATTTAATACGCAAACGCGACAAGATGGACAACAACTGCGCTGCAAATTAAAAATACATCTCGATAACTTAAAAAAACAATCACGTCGCGAAATCGTCGCCTTAATCGAGGACGGACCCAATCACGCTCAGCCGTGGCGTGCATGCAATGTTGGCGTTCATTTAGTTTCGCGGCCGGCATTTTGTGGGGGAATGTCGCGTAACTGCGTTTGCAATATACGAACTTATTCTGTGATGTTGCATATGCATATATACAACTATATATATATATATATATATATATATATATATATATATATATATATATATATAAAGGAAATGAGAAAGACGAGTTTATAGGAATTACGTTTAAAGTAACGTCAGTGGTGCCAAGCTGTGTTATACGTTTGGAACGTCACTTATGTTAAATAACCCGTCGTACTTAAAATCGCGTTCACATGCCTCTGGTGGCTGCGGACAATGCATTCCAGTACAAAGTGCAACTATGAAAATTGACGCCTTCTTCGTACAAGGAACGGCCATTCACAGAATGCAAGGTCCTTTCCCTTCTTCACCACGGACGTTCGGAACGGGCGTGCGCTTCCATGCCTGCCCCAAAAGCATGTATGAATAATGTCATTGTTGAAAAACATGAAGTTTGTATTGCCACTCGAGAATGGGGGAATAGCACGTGAAGTCAGATTGCGCCGAGACTGCTAGGCTGCTTGGAACGGTCCTTTCACTTGGTTGGTGTGCAAAGCTAAATATACGTGCAATTAGGCTATTTAAACACAGTAAAATATCATCCTAACCCAAAACAGGGCCAAACGTCGAAAATGGAAACAGCGCTCTGTGTTTGGGGTACACCCGGTATCCACGGCAGTACCTCCTTAATGTAAATTCAGTCTTAAGAGTTTGAATGGGTACATTTCTGGAACAGTGTCTGCGCTAAGTAGTGCTTGTTCCGTGAACCCTGGCCCCTCCATCCGATTGTGAAAATCCAGTTCCGCATCAGAATGTTGTGGTGCAACCTTAACGTACAGCACTGTTCGGCATGGTCAACCCCGTCCTCTGACCCCATCTGACCTTGAGCGGCTGAGACCACCGAGTTCAGTCCATCTCTGCCACGGGCGAATAACGAGCGCCGAAGCAATTCGAACCCATCTACCCCGTCACCGGTGGGGTGGGAGGCAGGCACTCTAACCGATTGAGTTAGGGGTGAATAACAGCTCTTACGCATGAATTTTTTATCGAAGATTTAGGTTCTCTGAGGCTTTTGGCAACGAGCGCCTTAGAGCAAAGGTCAGAATGCCATTAGTTTCCGGTCGGTAGCCCTACGAATTTTTATGACAGCGGCATCTAATCTTGAGGGAAATCAGCCGCCAGAGCCACGGCAAACGCGCCGCATTAGCGTAAACTTGTGCTGTGCGTGTATTCCGTACCATATGATTCACAATTATCGAAGCGTTTTGCGCATGACATCCACGTGACTTCGCACATCAGGGCAGGTCTGCTTGGGGTCAGTTGTTGGGGAACGCCTAGCCTTATGCCTCTGTTGTTGTAAATTAGTTTACATGAGTTATTACTAAAAAGCGAAGGGCGCTCGCAAAGCAAAAGATGTCGCGTCGTAGACATTCAGTCTCTTTATTCAAGGCAGTACCGGATTTGGTGCGTGTGCAATGCAAGAGCCGCGACACAGCCCACCACGGGAAATCAGCGTCGGGAAGACTAAACCCCAACAACCTGTGTATAAATCCAATCCACGCGCTGATAAACCTCGAATAAACCACGAGCCGCCTACGTCTGCCAGTCGTCGTGGAACGGAGCCGACCAAACACCGTACCACCGAGAGACGGCATTGTCGGTGGTTGACATCCATTCGCTGAGCTGACAGCCTCAATGTCAAGTACAAGCTGCTAGCCGTCTCGTTGTAGTTCAGGCGTGGCATGCGCGTTCCGGTGGCTGAAGCTCACATTCCATCCACTGAATGTCTGCTGCCACATGGGCTGGAACGCGACTGTAAACATGGGAGGATATTCCAGTGTATATCAGCTTGGCTCGATCCTCGGCGCTAGCCGACACTTATCCAATGGGTATATGCGAAACGGAATGGTCAATAGCAACTTATATTTGTTTCGCGCACAGCAGGCCACTGTCAATGTTCCCCAACTGCAAAGTGTGTGTTTAGCGTTGCACGTGCCTGGCACCGGAAGTTCTGCGATGCAAATAAGCCAATGCCTAGGTTGTTCCAACTTATTAAGCAACACAAGATCCTCCTGTCTCCGGTACGTGTCTCACTGGTATAACCACCCACACAGAGCAGTTCCGAGATAAATGGATGGTCCGTGGCACATGTCAGTCTTGGATACGCCCTTAACTCTTTGCAGCATGGCAGTTCAACACCTGCGTGCCTGAAAGCCGTGGAAATAAGCGCCACCCGTGCTTCAGAAGCTGTGTAGCAGGGCCTTGTCGGCTTGCTGTTACGATACATTGGCGGAGAAACCAAAATGTTGCTGCGGTTTTAAAATCATTGGTGAAAAACCAAGTTCTCGTGCAGATAGAGATAACACAGAAAACCGCGGCAGTGTTCTGGATACCATCGATTTTTTTCTCTCGCTCTCACGCCATGCATGACGTGTCCTGTACCCACTCTCCACACATCCCAGGCACACTCGTTTACTTATACGGCGGAGGGCCGCCGAGCCGCTTTGATCTCAGTCTCGCGCTCCACCCGCCAGCTCGCGGCCGGCGCGCCGGCCCGCCTTGATCACCACCATCAGCCTGTTGCCGGCGGTCTGCAGCTCAATACGACCGGCCGCCTCTCGTCAGGCGCGGGCGGGGCGGCGGCGACGGGATGTCAAGCGGGCGGAAATGGTGGGCGGAACGGCGGACGGACGGGGCGGGAGCGGGGCGGCGCCTGGTGGGTGGACACTGGACAGGGTTCAGTGGGCGGGTGCCGCCCAGAGGGAGGACGGGGGCGTTGCGCGGTGGAGCAGACTGATAAATAGTCCTGACCCGGACCCAAAGCCCTTTCCGCGGAATTTCAACCGCGTTGGTGAACCATCATAACCTTTCAGTGCCCACGTGAGGGTCGAACCACGCACCAGAAGGCGTCGGCATCACCGGGTACCCCACGATATGCACGACGGTTCATACGTCATGCCTCCGCCACAGTTGTGCGTAGCCGGGGACTCCTGGTGCGCCACCACAACGGCACGCTTACCTCGCACCGCGAACAGCCCCAAATCCGGCCGGGCCAACGCGGGCGGGCGGAGGTCGTTCACCCCGTCTCCCTCACCTGCCGCCCCGCGGTTGCAGTGCACGCAGGGAAGCCCCACCACCCTACGGCTCAGCCGCGTCCAACTCGGCTGTTAGGTGTAGCGTGCCATCGACGAAATAGGGTGGTCGTCGTTTTCAGGCATTTCAAGTTCGTAACAAGACGACTAAGATGCCAGTGCAAACATGCGAGGTGGAGCATTTACCTAATAAGAAACGCATTGAATACTTGGTATTCCATATTCGCCGCTGACTATCACGATCGATGCAATCAGGAGCAGACAAATAGCGCATTGCCCGCATTCCAAACGGGCACGGGGGTGATTCTGGCGGCATCATCGATAGATTCCAACGACTGATGAGAAAACGCACGCATGCCGCAAGGCACTGGACGGCTAAACACATATCTAAATGTGCAGTTATTGGCGTGCGTGCAGTACACCCAAGCATTAAAAATCCCTTAAGACCAGGTCTGCCGTTGAAAACGCATGCTTTGTTTCAAACCGAACGCCTGGGCGGATTTTCACGGGAGGACAACAACCATGCTTGGAAAGATTTGACGGCCCCTAAACTCAAATATCTCACAACTGATCGGCCCCAATTTGACCCTCATTTTGGCAATGTGTTTTGTTGGTTGGCACCGGCTATCACCTGTAGGTCACCTATATGTCACCTGTTTGCCACCTGTATGCCACCTGTACGTGGCCTGCATGTCACCTGTAAGGATCGCGGAGCTCCTCGGTGACGAAGTTGAGGAAGTTCCAGCCGGCATAAGCGAACAGGCCCGAGTAGAGCGCCAGCGCCGTGCCCCCGACCGACACCTGACCCTTGAACGCCGTCGACGGCTGCAGGTAGCTCGTGTGACCTGGAGGGGGTCAGCCGGGTCAGCGGAACGGATCGGAGTGGACCGACACACGGCATCTTGCAAACCTTATATGGCGCGGGCTGACGGAAGTTACGCAAACCCTTCGCGCCATAGACTGGCAGACACTTGTGCCACTTGATACACGGGTATATTAGACAATCTAAACGGATTCTGCGCACTCAAAAATATTATTGGAGCATAATAAATCGTTTTGTCATTGATGAAATATCTGATAAATGAACATATCATGATATGTGACAGGTGACATGATTTTAATGAGGATCGTGATCTCTTAGTATGCATATTTTCCCGTGTGTGCTGGTCCATTTACCTTTCCATTGCCATATTCTGTTCTGTCGTCCACAGCATGGGCTTCACAAAAACTTGAAAAATCTTGGTATAATTCATGCACCCTAGTGAGCTCTATGAAACACTGCACGACACAAAGTGTCCCAGCACCCCCTCCTCCTTCCCACCAGGACACCATGCCGTCCGAAGAGAGTACGCCTTACATTCGTAGTCCCCGAGCGCAACGGGTCAATTCTAACGGCTCGGAAGCACCATCAAGTTATACTCATATTGAGTAATACGGAAGACATCACGCCCAAATGGCTTTTGCTTACTCATGGAGCGGCCTGTTTCCTCTCTCAACCGTTTTGTGCTGGAACCACAGCCGAATGAAAGCTATGTGATAAAATTAAGCCAACGAATGCTAAATCTGAGTCATCACTGTCGCAGGCTCTTCAAACATGCATCGACGCCTGTTTGAGCGGAGAGTTCATCCGTGTCGCCGCCAGTCAGCAGGCGGGTGTGGCGCCGAGGCCCGCCAAATATGCAGCGGTCTGCAAACGAACTCCGGGCGGCCACACCTCATGCGTATTCATTCGAAGGCTACGTAACGCTCATTTCGCTGGAGTTTTGTATCACAGCCGGTAGCGCTGCATAGTGACGGGCGGACACCGGTCACGGCTGAGGGATCCCGCACACTTTCAGCGTCACCAAACTGCCAACGTTCAGCTCCACCGTGCCGCAAACGCTATTTTAGGCCTTCTACTCGGTCAATATTGAGGGGCGGTGAAGACAAATGACCTCGAGCGCTGCCTGCATGATTCGACGAAGTTGCTCTGCAACGCTTCAACGTGCTGACAAAGCGGCTGTTGACTGCACTACAGCGTGGCTGGCTGTTTCAACAACAGCTGTCCGGCTTTACTCCCCGTTGCAAAAAAGACTGGGTTAACGCACGGCACGGCGTACCCAACGACGTGCAGGAGAGCAGAAGCCCACTGCCGGGCCGACTGACCCCAGTCACGTCACACGGCATGATCGATACGCCCCCAGCAGGAGCGAACGCCTCCAACGATCGTTTCTAGCTCCGCTCGACGACCACCTATGGCGCACCCCGCGGCAAGTCACGCACACGCATCAGGCGGCGGGCGGCGGCGCAGGGTCGGCGGACGGTGGGTGGACAGACGCAGCCGCACCGGGACGAAAGACCAGCTGCCGTACTGGGACAGAAGACCGGCTGCCGCACCGGGACGGGAGACCAGCTGCCGTACTGGGACAGGAAACCGCCTGCCGCACCGGGACGGGAAACCGGCTGCCGCGCCGGGACGGAAGACCAGCTGCCGCACTGGGACAGAAGACCGGCTGCCGCACCGGGACGGGAGACCGGCTGCCGCACCGGGACGAAAGACCAGCTGCCGTACTGGGACAGGAAACCGGCTGCCGCACTGGGACAGGAGACCGGCTGCCGCACCGGAACGGGAGACCGGCTGCCGCACCGGAACGGGAGACCGGCTGCCGCACCGGAACGGAAGACCGGCTGCCGCACTGGGACAGGAGACCGGCTGCCGCACCGGAACGGGAGACCGGCTGCCGCACTGGGACAGGAGACCGGCTGCCACACCGGGACAGGAGACCGACTGCCACCCCGGGACGGGAGACCGGTTGCCGCTTTGAGACGGGAGACCGGCCGGCGCGAGGCCGATGCGTTTGACTCGGCACACTCTGATGAAACCGCGAGGAGCGTTGCTGTCGAGTGTGTCTATCGGTGGCGCCGCGCTTTCAAGGTTGGTTTCAGGGGCGTTTCCATTGAGCGACTTTAAGCTTCCCAAGCTGCCCCCCCCCCCCTTCCCCCGTCGCAACAATACAGGCGAATGGCGCCTCTCTTCTATTGTACGGGTGCTGCGGTGGTGCAGTGGTCCCGTGATGGTCGGAAGCTATTAGTCCATGGTTCCGCTCTGTAGAAAATTGCGGTAGACTTTTAGCGGTGAGTGCTGACGGGAGAGCACTGCTCCCTTGTTTCGTAGACTCCACCTGCGTTTTATATGTTGTCATTCTTGCCAATGTGACTAGCATTTGGCTCAGTATGTGCCCGATTGCGTGGGCTTTGTTGTTGGCGATCTGGCTCACGTTCATACCAGGCAGTTTGCACTTGGGCTGGGACTTTCGCAGTGAGTGACGATTTCAGAGAAAACGGTTTTCCAGGAAAACTTACCAGAAAACGTATAACTCATTAAGCTTGAGGGCTCAGGTTACAACATTGCGACAAAATATCGACTATCCACATATTTAACTTACACGATATCTGTATCTGTTTGGTGTTAAAACTACGAGCTTTTCAAGCAACGTCGTCGTTATGGTTACACATTTAGGGCCTCCCGGCCGGCACATTTGAAGTTATGTGATGATGGCGTATACTGCTCATTACGTCTCGCATAACGTCAGCCATGTGTTCCACAAATACCACCTTTCCCTGGCTACATATCACAGTGCTTAAACAAACCGCAATCCGCAGCATGATGGGCCGAAAATACTCGCCTCAGAAAGGGCTAGTGGGCCTGGGCGGCACCACTGGCCTGGGTTCTGCCGCTTGGTGTATACACAGCACGAGGCAATGCGCTCTTGACATAATTTACGGTCCGCATCACGTCCAGATTTCACCATGGCAACACTTGGTGATGAGTACTGTGCTGCTCCGGTGACACGCAATGGCGCGGCGAGGCAGACGTCTCGGCCCTAGCTGATGCGGGTGTGAGCGGCTTGCTTTGTTTGGATGCGCCTGTGTCTGCCCTGTAGCCTGCCCAACTATGGTCCGCTTCTCGGAAAGACGCAATTTTATGGAGCGCAGGCACGAGATGACCGGGTGTGACCGGGCCTACGAGTTATGAGGAGGGGGAGGGGAGGAAATGATGTGGGGGGAGAACACGACGTCCTGTTTCTGCGCTGTCAAATGCCCTTCCACTCCCCCCCCCCCCCCCTCCCCAGAGCATTTTCCTCCCGGCGACGTCAGTGGTGTCCCATGGCGTCTATAACATCAGAGGCTTTCCCCACCCGGACTTCCCCGTTTCCTGGACCTGCCGCGGGGCAGCTGCGCCGCTGCTTCCGTGGGCACCACTGACTTCTCACCCATGCCGATGTAAGCCAGACCGACGGCGATGATTGCCACCAGCGCCGCCAGCTTGGCCACAGTGAACAGGTCCTGGATGCGTGTGGTCCAGCGCACGCTGGCACAGTTGACGAACGTCAGCATGGCTGCAACGGTGATAGCAGGGTTAGGTTATGGCTAAAACACGTAAAGGATAAAGTCTATGCTGGAAATCTTGAGCGTTCCGAAAATACTAAGAAAACGGCGAGTCTCCGAGCAAAGGCATAATGTAATTTGACTATGCTCAAAATGTGTTTGTATCTACCTGCATTGATATAAAACTCCATGGAAATCACGATGATATGAAAATGAACCTGCATCCCTACGGGGTTAATCTCCGGCATAATGAACTAAATCGTGGTTTACCGAACTTCATCTGTTACAACGTATTTCATATGATTGCAATACTAGCCTCGTCAACGCATTTTGCATTTTATATAACATTCGATCAACATACAAATTCAGGGGTACGGTACACCGCCAGCTCGCAGTCAACAGCCCTAACGTCACATAGCTTCCATGTTGAGCTGTCAGTAGGAGCAAGCATCAAAGCCACAAAAACAGCAACAACTGCCGGCGCGGCTGCTGCCCTTGCCGGCCGCCAGAGCGGTCGGCGTTCGCCGCCGGCCAAGCGCGCACTCACTGATGCAGACGGCCGCCAGCAGCTTGGCCGTGGACGAAGGCACGTCGCAGTTCGGGTAAAACGGCTTCACGGCGTACTCGGCGAACGTCAGCGCGACGATGGCCGCCAGGCTGGGCCGGATCACCACCATGCCGACCCACAGGCGCAGGAAGGCCGGCAGCGGCCCGAAGATCTCCAGGATGTAGGCGTAGTCGCCGCCGGAGCGCGGGATGCAGCAGCCCAGCTCGGCATAGCAGAGCGCGCCCAGCGTCGAGATGAGCCCGCAGAGCGTCCACAGGACCAGTGCCACCCCCACCGAGCCGGCGTTGGCCAGCACGCCCGTCGGCGACACGAAGATGCCGGAGCCGATGATGCAACCCACGATGAGCGTTACGCCGTTCAGCAGCGTGATCTTCTGCTTGGCGGGCGCAGCGACCCCGTCGCCGCCCTCCGTGCCGGCCATGGTGGCGCCGGTGCTGCGCGCGGCTTCACTCCGACCCAGACCGCTCACGTGGCGGCAGTGGCCGAGCGCCGTCGCCGCCGGCGCGGCCGCAGCGCCGGCTGGCGGCGGAGGCGCACACGACGTCGCGACCTACCCCAGTGTACGGCACTCGACACACGGACCACGCCCACACGCACCCGCCGCGCGCCCTGCCCGACGGGGGAGTTGGTAGCCGCATGGGCAGACGGGCCTGCAGTGGCGTCCTGGGCCAGTGCAGCGCGCCCATGGAGCCCCAGAAGCGCGATAACGACTCCGGCCGACCGCTCCTGACCGGGACGCGCTGTCGGAGGCTGTCCCGTCGGCTTCGATCCAGCCGACGCAGTGACGTCACCACCGACAGCTGAACGCGCCTTCGACGTGACGCCGGCGGCGTCGGATTTTCGTCATGCGGCGCCGCCCCTGCCCCGTGCCATCGGAACCAGCTGGCTGTGACGTCACGGTCGCTTCCGGGGTCGGCTGGCGGCGCGCCACCGCGACCGGCGGCGGCCATTTTTAAACTGCGTGCCCCGTCTACTTCCCCGGCAGACGTTGCATGGCTCGGTTGTCCCACTGGTGCTGACCGCTGGAGTTCGTCACACGGTCGGCAGTGCGTGCAGGCCGCCAGATGTGTCACACAACTCGCGTTACGCCCATTCCCAGACGCCCGCCTGGTGTCTCCTTGGCACCTCGTCTGTTGCGGCCGCCGGGGTCGGGGCCCGGCCTCTGTACGTTGGTATTGACTTCCACGGAAAAACCAGCTCGATGACAACATCAGGAAAGCCATAGACGCAGGGCCACCTCAAGGTTCTCTAAGCGTGTTCCGAACCCTTTGATCATGCTTCGTTCCACCGTCTCAGGTATCCGTTGCTTGTTTATTTCTTCCGTATTGTTGCGGTTATCCTGATGGTATTCATTTGCGGTCGATGAACAGCATGCAATGGGTGCAACAGAGTTCTAGTACTTGTGACTAGAACGACCACGCAAGTATATATAGGGCATGTTTACCATGGCAAACCGAGCCCGGTATGCTGTGCGCGATCTTATGCATAATTTTGGGACTCAAGGCCTCAAAGGGTATTTATATCCACTTTAGATCATTAGCCTTTACAGTACACACGGTGTTCGTTAGCCCATGACGCATGGCGCATGCCACATTACAGCCCAAGCTTCCTAACCCGCGCACGACCCGGGGAAGTTCACTTTCCTCCGACGGTTTTTCGAATACAGCTAAAAAGGGAATGCTCACAGCCACACCAAATTGTTAGTGCCTGTTAATTGATTCATGTGGCATCCTTGGTGGAAATTTGAAGCTTCGATCTGCCGAGGTCAATGATCTAGATCAGATCAAACCCGTCAATCTCTAAAATACTTTGACCACGCTTAGGTTTGTTGTAGGTTATTCGTTTTTACCCGAGCGCGCTTTACTAATATATTATGATAGAAGCTGACGTTTGGCTATTCGAGATTTTTCGAAACTGGCGAGGTCAATGGCTTGAGGTCAGATTCATGTTTGCTATTTTTCAAAGTTGATGAAAATTTGCACTCAATTTTGCGCATTTTTGATATTTTGATGTGGGGAAGAGTGTCTTTACCCACATTAACAACCGTTATTGGCCATAGATCGCATGACCTTGCTCCAGGTCATGACCCATCTCTTTGGGTGCCTTGTGCAAAACACAAGCTGCGTTCAAAATAAGCAATTTTATTGAGTAATTTTGGGCGCAGAATATGAATACTCCACTGCAAAATGTTCTGACAATAGGTTGCACAAGGAAAGTGAGGTCACTGATGTCACGCGAGATCGTATGAGGTCATACAAGGTCAATGATCTCTGTTGTCAGAGAGGGTAGATGAACGAGTGCGACGCATACAACCACCTCTGTGCCGTGTTTGTGAAGCTCATGACGCATGACTTCATGTATCAACGCGCCTGTCCTCAGTTTGTTACAAATACATCACCAAGCGCCGGAGGGACTTTGCAAAATGTATACAACAGCCATGCAATCTTGAGTACCTAGCGATATTCAACACACATTTCTGAAAACACTGGCTGCTTGGACTGCGTTAGTATTCTAAATTTGTCAGTTGGATGGCTTATAAATTTGACCTCAGCTGACGCCAGCTGACCTCTGTGTCGAAATAAGATGATGTTTATGTGTTTAAGATAAATGTTCCCACAGCTGCACTTAGAGAGCAGGACATTGTGAAAAAAAAACAGAAAGTACGTCAAGCGCGGTGACTGTACGGCCTTCTTAGGCTGTAGGCTACTGATAGGACAATTTTGAACGGTGATCTGGTCTGACCTGATCCTTGTGGGGAAACAGAAATGATCGGAATCTACTCCACATGGTCTTAACACTTGTACCCTTAATATCCGTGTTTTAACTTCATGTCAGGACCACCGTTTTTTAACCTTTTGTGACCTATGGTGACCTCACATTTGACCAACGATCAAATATTCTGTGTGCATTCTTCATGATTTGACGAAACCTTCAAGACGGCATCCTTTTTTCCCATACGACATCTGGAAGTTAGAGTTCCCAAGGGGAGGAAAGTCAGCTTCCCCCCCCCCCTCCCCCGGCCGGGCGCGGTTGTCGCAGATCCCCAGCCGGACGCAGGCTTTTACTCGCATTTGCATTCTCGGTTTCGGCGCTGTTCTCAACCATTAGACTACCAGCCTCACGTATGTCGTAACTAGTAGAGCGCCCTAAGTGCTTGTGCTATGTAGCATAAAGCACAGCTCGTCATGGATAAATACAACCAGCAACTTAGCACTGGTTGTGAACTGAGCGCCCTCTGTCGATGCACCGATTATACACTATGAACCGTAAATTCTCATGCTGACCATGACCGACTCTCAGTTTACTAGGAGACAATGGCCAAAGGGACTGATCCATATTTGTATGGGGTTTGAACACAGATAGCCCAGATTGAAATTTTATTGTTTCTTAGCCAGACGCACTTGAACTTGTGCAGCCTAATTGGTGCCGCCTATTTGAAATCACTTATACATGCATTTCATCATCGAAACGCCGCAGCATTTCCTCACCTTAATGGCCATATTGTGTTCAAGGTCAAAATGAAATGGTCAAAGGAATATTCATGTATTGAGTGTGTCAGCACGAATCGGTGCATTGACGCAAAGCGCTTAGTTAACGACCAGTGCTGAGTTGCTGATTGTGTTTATCCACGACGAGCAGTGTTTTATGCTACGATGCACAGGCATTTGGGCAGATCTACTAGTTACGACACATGTGAGGCTGATCGTCTAATGCTTTAAGAACCGCGCCGTAGCCCAGAAGGCAAAAGCTAGTTAAAACATGACGTCTCGGAAAAATATACAAAGATATCATGAGAAAAGGAAAAGCACAAGTGCATGCACATTTCGCTAATGGCATATTGTCATGGCATATACATGGCATGCTTATGCTAACGGTATAAACTTGCATGTACTGACAGCTACGCCAGCTTGCGGTGGACAGCTTGCTTGAAGTGCCGCAAATGATTCCGCCACCTGCTGCAGTGAACATTCGGACACGACCAATCTTGCAGCGACTTTGACGCTATATAGATGTTACCTAACATAATCAAACGATAGCGTGCTGAGAAGCAAACTTACTAAGCAGTGGTTTGTCTAAATTAAAGTAGCTTGTTCCACCTACAAACATGCCAATAGTTACAAGGGTTAGCTTCCATCATATCTCATGCTTTCCTCAATATCTTCAAATATCGAATGATCGCTTTAAACTATGTGATTGGAAAAGTAACGGATATGTAGACAAATCTGGATTTCTTAACCGGCCCCCTGACAGCGGTTAATGCGACCCCACATTTGTTTTTGTTTTCCAGAATAGCTTTGCGGTATGGAGTGCAGCAACATTTTCAGCAGCATAAAGGAAATCTGTTGCAAGTGCTCTGACATCAGAAACGTGTTCGTGGGTCCTTTGGTTTCGGAGCAGCGGTGGCTTTTGCGGAGCACTCCACGGTGATCTACGGCAGGCGCGGACCGCGGGCGGAACCGGCGATACGGCCGAATGCGCACGGCGGGCAGACATTTTACATTAACGGAGCCATGTATCATAAATGTGTGCTCAAATATAATATGCATAAAAACATACACTGTCGTAGTAAGAATTGTACAAGGGACACGACTGTTTAGGTTTTGTGTCGTCATGAGGCTTGGTCTAGCATGTATAATGTTGTTAAGCTAAAGCCTGCGATTTTGTGGACGATATGATCCTTGATATAGCGTACTGAGATCGATTATTTACCTATAAACACAAAACTAGCACCAATGGCGAGATCTCGCTGGGACCAGTCCGCTTGTGTTTTCCGCCACGTTTTATCTGTCTTATGGTTTGAAAACGCCGAACGCCACCGACACCTCATCAGTCTGCGATAGGGAAGACGGATAATCAGGGCGAGGGTTAAACTATACTCGTGGAGAAAAGTATCTGAAGTGGCTAACTTGCGACGCGAGTGCCTTAACACGTGCTCGGGTAGAGGGTCAAATTGCCCTCCTCCCCCGAGGGTTTTTCAGAATGGTTTCCGAGCGGAACGGCGAAGCCGCGTCAAATTTTGCCCAGCTGTCAACAATTTAATAGTGAATCGTTTGGCATCAACCATCTAAATGTACCTTGTAGGGTCGCTGACCTATGAGAGGTCACAGTCAGGCCATGGCTTCAGCGAAGTCAATTTCTAGGGAATGGTTCAATCTGATGCAACAACGAAGTGTTAGACGAAGCCATGATCTCTGAGATACTTTCTTAGGCAACCCAACAGTTGAATAAGCAAATTGAATTGACCTGAGGTCAGGTATGAAGGTCAGACCAAGACCGAAACCAACCTGTTTTTATGCTCTAAGGCTTGCTGTATGGGGTAGTTTCTGGTGCTCATTTCGAACTTATTGATAGCAAGAGCCGCATTATATGTCTTCCATGGACTTCTTGGAGGTGAGAACAGGTCTTTGACCTAAAATGATGCATGTCAATATATTGTTTTTCGGAACATACTGCCTAGCGTAATGTTT